GAGGGTAGGGGGAGGCAGGCCGGAGAGGTTCAAGGGGGGGAAAGGGGGCATATGTTGTACTTTAAACAATAAAGATTAAAAAGTAACAACAACAAAAAACCAGGCTTTCAAATACAGACACTATTGAAACAATATAGTTCAGAGGCAAGTTATGTTTCGGATCAAGCAAGGCATCCGCAGGAGGCACCATGCTAAGCAGCGTGACCGTCTGCTTTCCTCCAGGATGTCCCAGTGGTACGAACTCCAGCAGCTGGACGCCAAGTTCCTGGAGCAGGTGCACCAGCTCTACGATGACAGCTTCCCCATGGAGATCCGCCAGTACCTGGCCCAGTGGCTGGAAAAGCAGGACTGGTAAGGAGGGTGCTGGAGAGAGGGGGGCATTGCTCTGTGCTTTTCGAGGAACTTGTTGATCCAGTGACGTGGAGCCACGTTGACTAGAAGATGAATCTCATCAGCGGCCACGGGGATTGTCTGTTACGGAAGAGTGTTGGTTTGGAAAGTGGCACGTGTCTCTACACAGCTACACACCTAGTCATTAAGTACTTTCACGTAGTTTTGCCAGTTTAATTACGATACACTAGAGGCCCTGGTGCACGAAATGCGTGCAAGGGCCTTGGCCCTGGCCCCGCCCACCACCACCGTGTCTAGCCCAGCGGTTCTCAACCTGTGGGTCGTGACCCCTTTGGGGGTCAAACGACCCTTTCACAGGGGTCGCCTAAGACCATCGGAGAACACATATATAATTACATATTGTTTTTGTGATTAATCACTATGCTTTAATTATGTTCAATTTGTAACAATGAAAATACACCCTGCATATCAGATATTTACATGATGATTCATAACAGTAGCAAAATGACAGTGATTTAGTAGCAACGAAAATAATTTTATGGTTGGGGGTCACCACAACATGAGGAACTGTATTAAAGGGTCGCGGCATTAGGAAGGTTGAGAACCACTGGTCTAGAAGGAAAGACGTCTTCCAGTCTAATTAGCATATTACACTTTTATTATTATAGATGCTCCTAAATGCTTTGGATACGTTATGTAATTCGACGCCAGTTACTTCCCAAGTTAGGGTACAGTCCATAGAAAGAAAATAAAAGAAATCATTAAAGCTGGGTTATAATAAATATTGATGAGAGATATGAAGACGCATACAGGGCATAGCTCTCAAAAGTGACCCATGTTCTACTTTAGAATTTCTCCTTGCCGACTGCAGATGCTTGTGATGTTCCGAAAGTATTCGGCATAGAAAATGAAGTCCCCTGCTGACTGCTCCCTGCCAGAGTCGATCGCCTTCAGCAGCGTTGTGCACAGTCTCGGAGCTCTAGGATTTCTCAGGCTAGCTGGATATAGCAGAAACATTGTACAGACTGCCGCTGAAAGCGGGGTCCATGTGACAGGAAAGCCATCAAAACCAAGAGAGCACTCACCGCTCTTGTTAGTAGCTTCAGTGTGGAGGGCAGTGGTGATTTTGTCTGTGTAAAACAGCCCCTAAGTAAAGTGTGTGGATTCTCCATCTAGGGAGCACGCCGCCAATGATGTTTCGTTCGCCACCATCCTTTTTCACGACCTCCTGTCGCAGCTGGACGATCAGTACAGCCGCTTTTCTCTGGAAAACAACTTTCTGTTGCAGCACAACATCAGGAAAAGCAAGCGCAACCTTCAGGTACGACCTGGGTTCTGTGCGTCCGTCGGAATGTGCCCGTGTTTACATAAGAGTTTTTTCCATTCGCCAAACGCTATGAGCACACACTGGCATTTAGACAAGTTAGAGACTGTAAATCCAGTCCCTTTATGTGGGGAATACTTCAGAGCACAAGTAAAATAAAATATCAGCTCGTTTTGTAAACACATATGGAATGTTTAGGTTTCAGCGTATCACTTGTTAGGCATCTGTAATTCTGAGAAAAATGTGATGCTATAAACTTGTTTTACTAACAGTTGTTGCTATTTAAGCCAAAGGAAAAAGATTCCATTTTAAGAGCAGTGAGCTATAGCGACATGTCAAAGCTCGAAGGAGCTTCAGTGCTGAGTCCGGTCTGAGTCCTTGGTCTCCGATGGAGAGTAAGCCCGGCACAGTGGGGCCTCCCGGGAGCCCACGGGGCATCGGGGTGTTGGAACGAGGCCCTCCTGGCCTTGCTTCTCGTGGGGCTGCCCTGCGAGGGAAGGTCCAGGGGGCTCCAGCAGGAGAGGATGTGCTGCGAGCTTGGGGGTTACCTCAGAAGCACTCCCGCGTCCTTAAGTCTGGCTCCCATAGTTATTTCTGTATCAGTGGAACGTTCCTGTTTTAATGGAGGCGAGCACCGTTGTTTTCTTGTTTCATAAAACGCAACCAACTGTTCAACTTAGGTCGGTCGTGAGAACCTTGTTTTTTCCCTCTGTGAATGGCTCTAGGGTTTTATAATGCCAGCGGATGAGGAAGTCAGATTAACTTCATAAACATTTGTCCTCCTATCGACTTTGCTTGCATATACCTGTTATATAAAGCCATGGTGGCTGTTTAAAAAAAATAAAAAGCCATGATTGCCGGTATTTTGCAAACTACTTTTGACAAGGAAGCAGAAAAATTGAAAAGAATATCTCTGATCTAATTGAAGCAGAGACCAGCGGGAATGTCATGGGTCATTTCTGCATCACTTGCATTGTCTCAGGATCCTAACAAAAGATCATTACTACAAAAGAAAAAATAGAGACCAAAGAAAAAGTATTATAGGAACCATGTATAAAAATACTTGGTTTTTTAAATGAAGAAGAAATTGAGATACCTGCACTTAATTGGAAAGTTAGAGCAGTTTTTGTCAGAATTTGTGAAAAGAATATTTTGATTTTACCAAATATTAACTTCTGTAGAACTTAATAAATGCGAGATGAGGTTTCTCAGTGAATATGAACAAGTCTATCTCAATTTATAATGCACAATGGCTTAAACATTCTGATACTTAATTTACTTTTGTCCTCACCACCCGTGTATAGGATAATTTCCAGGAAGACCCAATACTGATGTCTATGATCATCTATAACTGTCTGAAGGAGGAAAGAAAAATTCTGGAAAATGCCCAGAGATTCAATCAGGTACTTTTTCTTCTAATTAAACACTGGTGATAATAACAAAATAAACACATTTATTTTTCCAACAAATATTACTGAGGTGGTGGTGAGCAGTCCTCTGGTGCTATAGCCCCAGGGAGCAGGGAAATCAGAAATAGGGGTGTTGCGGACCCAGGCTCGGGAAAGGCGCCCGATCTAATGGAAGAGACGACGAATAAACATAGTTCTTCCCGATAGTAAGGATCGCCATGGAGATAACGGGGAGGGTGCTGTGTAGACAGTGATGGGGTGTCTGGGGCTGGCTGTGTAGGTCGGGTCTGGACACTGTGCTGAGGTGCGGGGCCAGTAAGGAGGCGGGCAGGCCGTGAGTGGGTTCTTGCCGCAGCCCAGGGCGGGGAGATGGGGTGCACGCAGCAGGGGGCGGGCAGGTTTTGGACATGGTACCGAAGGGCTTGTCGTGAAGGCTCAGACGTGGGAGTAAGACAGTGAAAGGTCCAGGTGACTGATCTGTAACTTCCCTGGGAGACGCTGTGTGCTGAGCCGGGAAGGCGGGGGAGGGGGAAGGAGGGCTTTGACGGCACAGGAGGCTTTGGGAGGAGAACTGGTTGATGGGACAGGCAAGAGCTTTGGGTTTGGTTTTGTTTTGTTTTTAATTTATTGATTTGAGAGAGAAAGGAAGGGAGAGGGAGAGAGAAAAAACATAAGTATGTTGTTTCACTTATTTATACATTCATTACATGTGCCTTGACCAGAATCAAACCCCAAACCGTGGAGTATCAGGACGATGCTCTAACCAACTGAGCTACACGCCAGGAAGAGCTTTGTTTTTGTTTATTTAAATATATTTGTATTGATTTCAGAGAGGAAGGGAGAGGGAGAGAGAAACATCAGAGATGGGAGAGAATCATCGATCAGCTGCCTCCTGCATGTCCCCAAAGGGGATGGCCTGCAACCCTGGCTTGTGTCCTGACCAGGAATCGAACAGTGACCTCCTGGTTCACAGGTTGACGCTCAACCACTGAGCCACCTGGCCAGGCCAGGAGCTGTGTTTTACACAGGATTGTGACACCCGTTAAATTTCCAGGGCAGCCAAACGGTGAATGGGACAGGGCTGTACCAGGGCAAGACATTTGACCACTATTTTGTTAAATCTAATACAGCCCTTCCTGTGACCAGGGCCCAGCAGCTTTAAAGTTGCTGTGGCATTTGTCCCTTCCTTCCTTGAGTGTTGGGTGGTGGGGACAGCCCAGCAGACAGGCAGTGTGGCACCGCAGTGGGGTGGCTGGTTCTGGCTGAGACGGGGAGAAGGCCAGAGCGCATGGGAGTGTGCCCTGTGGGCATCTCTCTAACAAACACCCAGGGGGCACTGTGAGACGTGGGAGCAGAGGGAGAGAGTCTTTACGTAGGGGTGGCGACTGCCCTTCCCCACGCACGCCCTGGGCATCCGGCCAGTCTCTGCCTCCTCCCAGGCCCTGTGTCTGTCACTCTGAATGCACCTTACTGCTCTAAGCATTTATTTTTATTTTTTAAAAATTAATATATTTTTACTGATTTCAGAGAGGAAGGGAGAGGGAGAGATGGGAACATCAGTGATGAGAGAGAATCAGGGATCGGCTGCCTCCTTCCTGCACGCCCCCCACTGGGGATCGAGCCTGCAACCCTGGGCATGTGCCTTTGACCAGAGTCAAACCCAGGACCCTTCAGTCTGCAGGCTGACGCTCTGTCCGCCGAGCCAAACCGGCCAGGGCTAAGCATTTAAAGATGCACATATTATTTGCTCTAAACTCAAGCTGACTGGTCCGACGGGGACCCGGCCTAGTGAACGAAAGGTGTGTGCCCCGAAGGCCGAAGCAGCAGCACCGTCCTGCCTCTGAGGCACCTGGGTGAGTCACAGGGGCGTCTGAGTCAGAATCAGACCAGGACCCGCCGCCCTGCCTCCCAGCAAGCTCTGAGGTGCCAGCAGCGGCCAGCCTGTATAAAGCTCCGAGGCTTTAAGACAAACAAGGACAGGGTTCTTTCTTTATTAAATCTATTGGGGTGACATTGGTCCACATGAACATACGGGTTTCAGGTGTGGGTGTCTATGTTATGAGACCTGTGTATTGCACCGTGTGTCCACCACCCAGAGTCAAGTGTCCTATCACCTTATATTAGGGCCCCTTTCTCCCCCCTCCCCCTCCCCTCTGGCACCCCCCACCCCGCTGTTGGTGTTCACCCACATGAGTGAAATCCTAGGAGTCCAGGGTTAAGAAGAATCTCGTCTACAGAATCTGAGAAACCCCGAAGCAAATCCCTGTGTGCGCCTGCAGCTGTGTGGGCCAGTGGGAAATTTCTGAACTGCTGCATGTTTATGTCGGGCACGAACTGAGCCTGGTCCTTCCGTAGCATCCACAGCTCGCCAGCATTGTCTCCAGGGCCCTGGGAACGGAACCGTTTCTTACAGGCAGTCCTGTGGGAAGCCTGGGGAGGAGGTCGGGGAGGTCTCGGAGGGCGTGGGGGGCACACGGTCTGGGCTTAACTTGGGAGTGTGACCAGCAGGTAAGTCCCAGAGGGGAGGGTGACTGTTACCTGCACCCCGTCACAGGCTCAGTCGGGGAGCTTTCAGGGCACGGTGATGCTGGACAAGCAGAAGGAGCTGGACGCCAGAGTGAGGGCCGTGAAGGACAAGGTGATGGTGAGTACCGTGTCCGCAGCTCTCTGGGGAGGGAAACAGGTTTCAGCGGCTCCAGTGTAACCACAGTAACTCATCTCAGTCCTTTAAACAGTTGCGAGGCAAAGTTTAGCTGAGGCCCCGAACCTCAAGTAAACAAGCTGGTGACACCAGTGCGTAGCAGACTCTTAGGCCTTCCTGGTGTGACTTGCAGACACTGAGCTCACTTCCTTCCCGTAGCGCCGTGTGGTAACTGACTTTCCCCATCACCCGGTAAACGAGAAGCTGCTGCTCTAATCACCCGTGTGTCTGCGCCTCTCTAGCCCGAGTCCCCGGTTACACGGAGCCCCGGGTAAACATGGTCCGTCCGGGCACCTGCTTTCCTCTAAGACAGTGGTTCTCCACCTTCTGGCCCTTTAAATATAGTTCCTCATGTTGTGACCCAACCATACAATTATTTTCGTTGCTACTTCATCACTGTCATGTTGCTACTGTTATGAATCGTCATGTAAATATCTGATATGCAGGATGGTCTTAGGCGACCCCTGTGAAAGGGTCGTTCGACCGCCAGAGGGGTCGCGACCCACAGGTTGAGAACCGCTGCTCTAAGACTTGGGTGGGGAGAAAAGCATCTCCCTGAAGCCAGTGCTGCTGCGTTTCCGATTGGAGCAGAACGCCCAGCGAGGCAGCGTGTGGCCGCGGGGGCTGCTCGGCGCCTCTGGGGGGTCCGCTCCCTCCCTGCACTCTGAGGGCCGTTGGGGGGAAGAGGAGGAAGCCCGTGTCTGTGGAAAAGGCCGGCTGGATGAGGGCCGGGGTCTCCCGTGGGGCTCTGGGTCACACTGGCATGGGGTGCGTCAGACGCGTCCTCCCAAACTCCAGGTCCTTTGGAGCAGCTCGCTCTCGCAGCCTCCTAGGCTCTGAAGTGGGGATCCGTGCCCAGTCCTGACATAGCTCCTAGTCTCTCTCCTTTTTTAAAGAAATATACTTTTATTGATTTCAGAGAGGAAGGGAGAGGGAGAGAAAGGTAGAAACATCCATGATGAGAGAGAATCATGGATCAGCTGCCTCCTGCACGCGCCACACTGGGGATCGAGCCCGCAGCCACTGAGCCACCCTGGCTGGGTGTATAGTTTCTTTTCTAAATAAAGTTACTATATATTGATTAATGAAATGGTCACTATTTCATGTCTACGACTCGCATTTTGCAAGTCTAGTCCCTCTGAGGGAGCAGGATTATTGCCATGGTTTTCTGGGTCTTCTAGAAGCAGTGATCTGTTTCTTAAAGTTGTGGCAGCTGCTCAGTAGCATCCCTATTTTTGTCTTTATTTACAGTGCATAGAGCAGGAAATCAAGACGCTGGAAGACTTACAAGATGAATATGACTTTAAATGCAAAACCTCGCAGAACAGAGGTAAGCTCGCATGCGGAGCGGTGCTCCTTGGCCGCGGGTTTTCCTGCCTCCGTGAGCTGACAGGGACCAGTCCTCCTTCCCACGTGCGGATCCTTCCACACGGAATCGCTCCTCTGGCCGCGCCAGGGCTTCCGGCCTCAGTGCTGTGGATGTTTGGGGTCAGCTACTGTGTTGTGCAGGGTGTCCTGTGTGTGTCTGGCTTGTACCCCTAGGGGGCAGCAGCGCTATCCCTAGGCCCCAGCGGTGCCCTTGGTGGCAGGTGACGTGTTACTTTACTTGTTGTGTCTAGCCCACTGGCTGACAGAGACGGTTAGGAATGTGGAGTGAGTGCCCAGGCCCAACGCCTAAAGCTCTGCCTGTGTGCTCCTCGGATAACAGTCAGCATTCTTCTCGTGTCTTCAAGCAGTAGCTCTATTTTGTTTTAATTTTTATTTTTATTATTGATTTCAGAAGGGGAGAGATAGAAACATCAATGATGAGAGAGACTCATTGATCGGCTGCCTCCTGCATGCTCCCCACTGGGGATGGAGCCCACAACCCAGGCACGTGCCCTGACCGGGAATTGAACTGTGACCTCCTGGTCGACGCTCAACCACTGGGCCACGCCGGCCGGGCTTGTTGTTTGTATTGATTACAGCAACTGAAAAAACCCACAAGCGTGCGTTGTGTAGTAGAACACGTGGGGTACCGCTGTGACCCCAGCAGTCCGTTGGGGGATAGCGTGGTTAATATTAGAGCAAAGGGGGGACAAGTGGTGAGGGAAGGGGACCTGACTTGGGGTGGTGAACACACATTATACGGATCATGTGTCGTAGAATTGTAAGCCTATGCAATTTCATTAACCAGTGTCGCCCCAATAAATTCAATGAAAAATATCGGAGAGATCATTCGTATAATTTGAGTAAAAACTCCGAGAGAAGGAACCTCAGCTACTCTTACTTCCTAATCACCTACTTCTCTCAAAGCCACCGATCTGCTCTGCTCTTTTACTTGCGATTTTGGAGTTTGCCACGCGAGTCGTTGAGGTCAGACTGTGACAGTAACTTCAGAACCAGGCAGCGCTGTTTCCACCCCACAGGGTCGTTGGAGACAAGGGCTTTGTTCCATGCGTCCAGTTCTTACACGTGGAACATTCTCCTCCTCCTGTTCAAGAAAGATGGGAGAAGGCCCGACTTGGACCTCTGGCCACAGTGTTGGGCCACAGCTCTGCTACGGGCCTGTGAGGCGGGGCCTTCGCTCATCTGTCTCCTTTCACTTTCACATTTGCCTGTTGTCTCTGCCCCTTCACAGAGCACGAAGCCAACGGCGTGGCGAAGAGCGACCAGAAGCAAGAGCAGATGCTGCTGCAGAAGATGTACTTGATGCTGGACAATAAGAGAAAGGTGGGGACTCGCCTTCCGGGAAGACGTGCCGCTTCTGTCAGGGACTGTGAGGAGCGGGCTGAAGCTCGGGGTGGAGGAGCGAAGATTTTTATAACCACGTGACATGGCGCCCCGTTGAGATGAAAGGATAGTGGCTTTGCTTTTAAGAAAATCATTTAAAACTCAGCGATTAAAGGCAGATCGATTTTGCTTTGTTTCGTCCTCTCCCTGTAGGAGGTCGTGCACAAAATAATCGAGGTGCTGAATGCCACCGAGCTGACCCAGAAGGCCCTGATCAACGACGAGCTGGTGGAGTGGAAGCGGAGGCAGCAGAGCGCCTGCATCGGGGGCCCCCCCAACGCCTGCCTCGACCAGCTGCAGAGCTGGTGAGCGTGGCCCTGTTCCCCCTGCGGGGTGGCCAGCCCCGCTCCGCTGGGCCAGGGCACGCCTCTCCCTCTGTCCCCGGGCCAAGGGTGCGTCATCTGTGCCAGAACACCAGGGACATGGTCGTCGCATGACACATTTAACAACTCGGGTCCTGGTGTTTTATTAAAAACAAACGAGCTTGCCCTAACCAGTGTAGCTCAGTGGATAGAGCGTCGGCCTGCGGACTGAAGAGTCCCGGGTTTGATTTCGGGCAAGGGCATGTACCTTGGTTGTGGGCGCATCCCCAGGGGGAGGTGGGCGGGAGGCAGCTGATCGATGTTTCTAACTCTCTATTCCTCTCCCTTCCTCTCTGTAAAAAATCAGTAAAATATATAAAAAACAAACAAACAAACAAACAAAAAAGAGCTTGAGGCATTTTCCAGGAAGACATGAGATAACAGTTTGTGTGGCCGTTCGTCCAGGGTGGATGAGTACGTCCTGAAGCTGCGTGCCGGCCTGGCCGGGCCTGGGGCGCAGGGTGAGGGCGGCTGGCCCTCCCGGGAAGGAGCTCTGGGCATGCAGGCAGGAGGGGCCGTGGGGGTTCTGGCAGCGCAGTGCTGCCAGCGCTGACGAGTTCCATGGGGGGCACGGGGAGGGGTCGCCTCAGAGGTTTCCAGGAGAAGTTGGATTGCACTTGGGAACGAATGGGAGGGCTTCATGGCCGCCAGAGAGAGCAGCACGTTCGTTTTTTCTCCCCAAATACCAGCCTCTTAACTCTGAGAGGAGCCTCGTCCCCGCCGCCCCCTGCGGTGCGAGTGCACCTGTGTAGATGGCGGGTGTGTCACCTGTGAGGACCCCTGGCTGGTGTCCGCGGGCCCTCAGTCCGGCCGCCGTGGGCTGTTCTGACTGAGAGCCCTGTCCGTGCCTCCCAGGTTCACTGTCGTCGCCGAGAGTCTGCAGCAGGTCCGCCAGCAGCTTAAAAAGCTCGAGGAGCTGGAGCAGAAGTACACCTACGAGCACGACCCCATCACGAAGAACAAGCAGGCCCTGTCGGACCGCACCTTCAGCCTCTTCCAGCAGCTCATCCAGAGGTAAGGGGGGACTGTCCACTCCTTCTGCAGTTCTGTTGCCCAAGGAAGGCTGTGGGGTAATGCAGACAATTAGGAAGGGTTAATGGGCCCTGGCCAGTGTGGCTCAGCGGACACAGCATCAGCCTGTGGACTGAAGGGTCCTGGGTTGGATTCCGGTCAAGGGCACAGGCCCAGGTTTCAGGCCTGATCCCCAGTAGGGGGCGTGCAGGATGCAGCTGAACAGCAATTCTCTCTCATCATTGATGTTTCTATCCTTCTCTCCCTTTCCCTTCCTCTCTGAAATCAATACAAATATATTTATATAAAAAAAGGAGGGTTTAATGGGTTACATAAACTTTTCATGGCCTGTCAGTTCTTTCTGGAGTCCTTCCTTCTGTGGCCGCCTAGAGTGGGAACTGGAAATGTCACCCCTTCTCTGTCCCTCCACGGCCAGGCTGTGCGGAGACGGTGGGTCTCCCCTCATCAGACACGTCCCCTCCCTCTGGCCTCCTCTCCTCTCAGGCTCTCACATCCCCTCTCCTGAACGCTTATGATTCCATGCTTGTGCACGCTGTGAAAGGATCACTACAATAAGTCGTTAGCAAATTGGCTTCTCAGTGCAGACTGTACGTGAACACAGTCCAACTGGGGGTTTTCGCTGGCGAAGAGGATCCCAGCTCAGGACAGTTCCTCTGATTCTGTCGAGAGCAAATGAGACCGGAGCGTTGCTTTACTGACTAGGAACCCTCACTTTATCCACCGTCAGAGCCCTCCAAACTGCTTCTCAGCGTATGCCCCGTACCCCCTTCCTCTGTGGGGGATCAGTTTTTACTGCTCGGCCTTCCAGGAAATGCTAACCTGTGCTTTGCTGGGACCCGCAGCTCCTTCGTGGTGGAGCGGCAGCCCTGCATGCCCACGCACCCGCAGAGGCCGCTGGTCCTGAAGACGGGCGTGCAGTTCACCGTGAAGCTGAGGTGAGAACGCCAGGCTGCAGCCGATGCCTCCTCCCCACAGCGCTGCCCGGTGGCGCATCGGAGGGAGGAGTTCGCAGAGGGCACGTCTTCAGGCTGAGAGTCTGCTGGTCTTCGCCCACTGGAGCTGTAGCAGATGTGTGTGCAAACACGTGCACACCCCCCCGATGTTTCCAGTGTAGATGCAGTGCGCGTTCACTGCACGAGGAAGTCAGACTGCAGGGCTGCGCACAGACTGAGTCCCGGCAGCCCCTTCCCTCCGAGCGTCAGCCCGTGGAAGAGCTTCATGCGCCCCCAGAACCCTATGCACCTTGTGTGTGTGGGCCTGTGACACATACGTTTTCTGCCCAGTGGGTTCTTAGCTCTCATCAGATGTGCAGAGTTACCTGAGTACCTGTAGACGACTGTGGTAACAGCCTGTGCCAGGCCTCACAGGGTTTTGTCCACGTCGACATAAGTACACGAGTTAATACGTGTGTGTGTGTATGTGTTTATACATAGACACATGCACACACAAATACATATGACGTGCAGCATTTTATTTCTAAGAACTGGGATTCTGCCAGTTGTTTTGCAGCCTGTTTTTCTCCTGATGATAAACTGCGAAGATGTTTTCATGCTTTCCCTCCTGTGGAGCAGCTGCCCCTGCTCACCTGCCCCTCCAGGGGTGCAGCAGGGTTCCAGGGAGCAGCATTGGCTAGGGGAGCAGCGGGCTCTGGGAAGCAGCACTGGCCAGGGGAGCAGCGGGCTCTGGGGAGCAGCACTGGCCAGGGGATCAGCACTGGCCAGGGGAGCAGCACTGGCCAGGGGAACAGTGGGCTCTGGGGAGCAGCACTGGCCAGGGGAACAGCACTGGCCAGGGGAGCAGCGGGCTCCGGGGAGCAGCACTGGCCTTGAGTCGGCCCTGGTCCCATGTGCTGGGCAGTTAGTGAGGTGGTAGGGGCTGCTTCCTGGTGCTACACTCAGCACCTTGGGTCCTGGCACCCACAGCCGGGAGGGCACCGGAAGTCTCATCCCGTCAGAGCGAGACGTGGGGCTCCTGCCCGAGGCCTCCAGCTCATGGAGCACAGCAGGCCTGAGTCTCCATTGCTCCACCAGCCCGGGTGATTAGAGGGCCCCTCATTCTCCTGATTAGGGGCGATCGCTTTATCTTCTCCCAAGAGGACAGGCATTAGATACAAGTTTTAGTAAAAGTAGTATTTCCTATATTTTACTCATACAGTTGACTAAAAGTAGACATTTTGTGAAGGTCCCATGTGGGCTAGGCCGTGTAGGAGCAGGTGCTGCGCGCTCTCAAAGTCTGACGCCGCCGTTCTGCCCGCAGTCACAGCTGGGAGTGTGTCCCACAAACACACTTGTCAGAAGTCCGGGGGGGCAGATAAGGATGCAAGTTTCATTGTTTGTAATAACCCAAACTGGAGAAGGTGGGGGTGATCTAATGTTTATTGATAGGGAATTGGCATAATAAATTGTAATCGATAGTTTTTTTAAGTAATAATGACTTTTATTTTTCTTTCCAGATTGTTGGTGAAATTGCAAGAGCTGAATTATAACTTGAAAGTCAAAGTTCTATTTGATAAGTAAGACATCTTGAATACTATCTAAGATGCATGTACTGTTGAAATGCTGGTCTTGTTAGCCAAACACAGGCCGACGCCCCAGGCCGTTGTACAGGATCCCAGCGGATTGTAATTGTAGCTCCCACTCCGATCCCTCTCGTGCCTTCACGCGCCCGGCCTGTTTTGAGGGCACAGGAGCAAGTTTACGAGTGTGAGCTGGTACTGAGCGAGTCTCCGCACCCCCTCTTCCCCCCTCCCCTCCTACGCGCCCGGGGGAGGCTGCCCATGCCCAGGCTGCCATGACTCTGCAGCCCGAGAATTAAGCTGTCACTTTCGAAGGTCCTCTTGGTTTCGTAGCAGCCGAGCAGGGCTCTGCTGAGTGGAGGCCTCAGGGCTTGGCACAGTGCTTTGGTGGAGTAAGTAGTTGCTCAATAAATAGTGACAACCGAGGCTTGCATTGCGTGAGGGCGTGCTAGCACCCATCAGCTAGTTCACGCCTCACAAGAGGCTGCTGGTTGGTGCTGTTCGCATGTAGCACAAATGAAAATTTCTTCCCCGTAATTTATTACCCAGTGACACTGGGCAGAGCTGTTGTGGGAGCGAGTGAGTGAAAGGAAGGGCAGAAAGCCCATGGGTTGACCTTTTTGGTGACCTTTTATGTCTACATATACTTTCATATTTTTGATAAAGTTCATTTCAAAGCTTAAATGCATAGATAGCACTTTACATAGATCCTTTTCTTTTGCAGGGACGTGAATGAGAGAAACACAGTGAAAGGGTATGTAAAGTACTTTGCACTTATTTCACTATCTTCTTTGCTTGTTTCATAGTTCCAAGCCCTTTTCGTATCTCTGCCCTCTGTTGTCCAGGTTCAGGAAGTTCAACATCTTGGGCACGCACACCAAGGTGATGAACATGGAGGAGTCCACCAACGGGAGCCTGGCGGCCGAGTTCCGACACCTGGTAGGGCGGCCAGTTCCCCCTTTACAGCACGTCAGGGTTCCTAGGACTTCGTGGGATGTGGGGGGCCCCCTGGGAGGAGATGCCCCCTCTGTGGCCGGCGATGCCCCCCCAGCGCTTGGGGAACCTCAATCCCTCCCCAGCCCAGGACTGTGCACTATTTCCTGCGTTTCTCTCCTGGAGACACTGTATTTGGGCCGCAGGGACTCGGCAGGGTCTCCCATAAGTGACCTGTGCTCACACACGTGCCGCCTGGGACCTCAGCTGGGAGGGCGCCTGGGACCTCAGCTGGGAGGGCACCTGGGACCTCAGCTGGGAGGGCACGCGCTCTGGCTGCGCCGATTCCCCAGAGGTCCTTGTCGCCCCACGTCCTGGCGGTGCCTTCTCCCCGCCCAGGTGTGGCCGACCCCAGGTCTCCTCAGCCCCCTCCTCACGTTCGCCCTCCTGGTGGCCCTGCACCACTGCCACCCAGCAGCAGGCGCTCAGCAGGGGTGGAGGTGGGCGGTGCCTCCCTGTCCCCCTGCAAACCCGGGTGCATGCTGAGGACGGGCTGGTGCCAAGCCCTCCGTGCTCCTGGGGCCTACAGGGAGGCTCAAGGCAGCCTGCACCTGGCGGCCTCCCGGCCTCGTGAACAGCGACCCAGCCAGGAAGCTAGAGCTGGTGTGAGAGCCTCGGTCCAAACTCAGGAGCCCAAGGGCGTCCAGAGCTGCTCTCGGACCCTGAGCTGTTCCCTCGACAACAAGGATCGACTCCTTGTGAGGACAGTCTCAGCTGGGCCTGCCGGGGGGCTGCGGGAGCTGCCAGGGCAGGAGAGGCAGAGCCCTGAGCCTGGGGAGCCTGGAGCAGCTGGGGAGGGAGATGGGGTCACTCAGGGGAGGGAGGGGAGCCGTGTTCTGGCTCCTTCTGCGCGCGGGTGCTGGCCGATGCCCGGCTGCGGAGGCTCCTGCTGGGGACCCGCACAGGCCCTGTCGTCATCATGTGCTCTGGTTCTGAGCATAACTTCCCGGCCTACCTTCTTCCCAAGGCCCGACTCTGGTGTGATTTGTAAGTGAAAATAGCACCTTCGAAGGTTGTGTCGTGTACTAAGGTGGCTTCTTGTTTTATAGCAACTGAAGGAACAGAAGAACGCCGGCAACAGAACCAACGAGGTGAGTCTGTCTCATCCGCAGGCCTGTCCGGGGGTGGCCCAGCACCCCTGTGGCCGGGACGCCTCGCACAGGCGCTCAGGGCCAGCAGGGCAGAGCGGTAGGCGTGTCTGGGGACTTGGTGCATCTGTAATAACAGCAAACACACTGCATTCGTGGCTTATGGCTTTCCAACGATTTTGCTCACAAGCGGGCTGGACCCTCCAGACTGCCCCGGGGGTGGGGGGTGGCGGGCGTCTGCAGGCGTCTGTGCTCCTCACGTTTCGGAGGGGAGACCTGGACTCACGGGAAGTCTGCGGGAGTAGCTCCGCCTGCAGAGGGGTCGCTGTCAGGACTGCCCTGCGGAAGCCGGTCACCGAGGCGCCCCTGCCCCCGCACTCCCCGCAGGGCAGCCACCTTCTGCCGTGTCCTTTTTAGAGCACATCCGGGAGGATCGTGTCCGTGCTGCACTCAGCAATGAGCTGTGCACGGGGACAGCAGCGCGTAGGGTTTGGTTGGAATGTGCTTGTCCCTTGTGCCCGCACAGCGTGCGTCCTTCCAGTCGGGAGCAGGGGACCGGCCCTGGCCTGGACCTGTACTGTCTCTGTGACCTCGTGTGGTCTCCTGTCCTGGACGCAGGGTAGCGCTGCACCTCCGGTTCTGAGTTATGATGCTGTTATTTGCTATGCAAAGTGCTGAGGTCCCAGCAAACCTCCCGAGAGAGAGCCCGGAAGACTGGCTGTGGAACGTAGGCTTAATTAGGACTTACATGTGCCCGGTGGCCGCCGGCTGTGATGTCACTGCCCACCGCTGCCACCCCTGAAGTTGAACCTCTAAGTCCGGTCCGATCCGGCCTGTGGACGGGCCGCACAGGGTGGCTGGCGGTGCTGCTGTTTCCGCCACCCCCACTCTCTCAGCACGAGGTCTTCCCCGGCTCGGAACACAGAACCAGGGCGTGAGGGCGGGCCGTGCGAGTGCCGTGTGGCCTCAGAACGTGCTTTCCTGCCCGAGGGGCTGGCCAGCCTCCCCGGTCCCCAGCCGCGCACCGGGGCGGAGGGGGGCCGTGTTCCCATTCCCCACACAGATGCCCATGTGAGACAACATGTAGCAAGGCTCTTTCAAAACATTTCTACCCAGATCAAGGCACTTCATGACCCCCGGGCTTGTGCAAACCCTTTCCAGTCGGGAATCACACCCGGCACAGCGCCGCCCACCCCACCTGCCGGAATGTGCAG